GGAGATTGTTTCTTCTCACCCTGCGGTTGTCTTTAGGTCAGACACTTCTCTTTTCTTGACAAATTTTCCTCATTTATTTTCTTTTAAATTCAGATTTACTGTTCCTCCCCTTTCTGGTCTTGATAATCTTTCTTATTGTATATTCAAGAGTTCAATTTTTTTTTTTTTTTTGGGGGTGGGGGGCTCTAATTTGTTGCTGTAGAAGCTTCAAGTTATGGATGTCAGATTGTCAGCCACTCAATTTATTGGCCATTTAGCTCTTCCAGTTCAACCAAAATTAGGGTTTTTTTAAAAAGGAAAAATTAGGGTTTTTTTTGTTTTCATATTTTGGCTCTTGGTAATTGAAATATCATGTGTTCTACCATGATAGTTAAATTGAAATAACATGAAAAATATTATAAATTGATGAGTTCTATTATATGTACTCTTAAATTCTACTTTCTCATTTGTACTCCATGACATGACAAACAAAGATTGGTTATTTTCATCGTGTGAGTCCAGGGAATATATCTACATCAAGAATTTGTGAGAGTGAATAAAAATCGGAAGTAAGAAATGAGAGTATTTTCCAACATGAGAATGCGTTGATTTACTTCTATCATCTTATTAGGCTGTACTCATCCTAAAAATTTTACTTAATAAAATAATGTGGCATGCTTTTATGGAAAATAATTTTATTTATTTATTTTATTTATTTTATTGGAGTGAGAACTTTTTTAAAGTAAAGAATTATAAATTTGATGGTGTAGAAGTAAAGTCCACTTTAAAAGTGGGAGGGTATTTGGTGTAGAAGTAAAGTCCACTTTTAAAGTGGGAGGGTATTGCAGGAATAAGTATAGACTTATATATTCCCATTCCTACTACCATTTATGTACTCTCTCATCACTACTTGCACCTATATAGTTTCAATTACCCATTTACCTACCTATCTACCCACAAACCCCTCCTCCAATCACATTCATTTGTAAATAGTGAGTTGGACACTTTTGGTCTCCTTAGTTGTTGGAGTGTGCCTCCACTTTTGGTCCCATGTTGGTGCTTTTGGACTTTTGGTCCTCAAAAGAAGTACATTGAAAATGTTACAATATGAGTTTAAACACTTTTTAGGAAAATATTACGTGTACTCTCACTTTATACTTCTAAATTTTGCTCCCACACATAAAATCAAGTCTTGATGTAGACACTTGTATTTAGATTCACTAGCTTAGAGCCTCCCATTTCAAGGGAGTAAAATTGAGGACATAAGATTTGGGGTACATAGAACTCCACTTTTTATTAGCCATGGGCCCATGGTTGTTGTCTTTTCACTTTAATTCCACCACAAATTACACATTTTGGGACATAAAGCATTGCTTTGTGGAGATGTTGACCACCCTTTGTCTTATTTTTCCTCCTACTTGAGGAGCCTTGTGCACTAGTTGGTAGAGCCATGGATTTCACTGCTCTCTCCTCTTGCCACATGTGCTAAAAATATTTTTTTAAAAGATTGTTTGCCAAAGTTTTTAAGAAAGGTTTTCTTACTAAAAACCATCTTCCTCTAACCTCAAATAAAAGGTCATTGTCTAGACTGCTAACCATATTTGCTTACACCTATCACCTGTAATGGGTGTTTAAATTATGAAGCATGTGGGGAACTATAAGGACTTTCTACTGTCAAACATTAGTAGAAGGGAGCATGAATCTGCTCTTCTGTTTAAGGGCATATACCCTTTTATATAGTTTTATTGCTATCTGTATTCTTCTTGATGTTGGCTGCAAACTTTCACAAGTTATGATATATTGATAATTTGATACTCCTCTGAGTGCAAAGGGCAAGTCATGAACATGCAATTTGATCTCTGTTTTGTAATTTAATTTCATATTTCAGTCTGTTTTTTTCACTTGCAAGGGCCCACATGGGCCTTCTTAGTAAGAAAATTATTGTCCTGATGGTTATTAGGACTCTGTATTCTATCAGCTTTAGAATTTCTTTCCCTTTTCTGTGTATTATTGTAACTCTTCCTTTACTAGTCCATCATATACTTTGTGAATACGATTGATCATTTGCTAATATTATTGTTCTCATCATTTGCATGCTACTTTGTTTATGCAGTAAAACATATTGTGGATATTGCACTAGAGTGAAAAACCTTCTTAACCAGCTTGGTGCTGCCTACAAACTCATTGAGCTTGACCAAGAAAGTATGCTGTCTTACCTGATAACTTTACAGGCATTTAGTTTGCTGACTTTTTGCATAAAAGCTTTATGAGCTTTACTGATTTTTTTGAAGATGATGGGGATGCTATTCAGCAAGCCTTGCTGGAGTGGACTGGTCAGAGGACTGTGCCCAATGTTTTCATTGGAGGGAAGCATGTTGGAGGCTGTGATAGTACACTACTAATCCCTCTAATATTAATTGAATAAATGTCAATTTTGGTCCTATGATTATTATTAGCATAGTCACAGTTTTGGTCCACAAGTTTAATGACTTATTTGTCATCTAATGATACTATCATTTTAATGTTAATTTTGATCACTCCAGTCATCGGTTCGACTCAAACATTCTGGAATCTCAAAATTTTAAGGTTATTTTCAACATTCTGGAATCTTAAAATTTTAAGGTTATTTTCATCCATCCAGACCAAGAAACTGGGGAAAAGGTTTACTAATGAGATAACCAAAGGGCGAAAATAACCTTAAAATTTTGATATTTCAGAATGTTTGACTTGGGTAACTTTAAAATTTTGAAATTTCAGAATGTTTGAGTCGGACTGGTGACCAGAGTGATCAAAATTGACATTAAAATGATAGTCATTGGATGTCAATTATTGAACTTGTGGATCAAAACTGTCATTACACTAATAGTAGTGGGATCAAAATTGGTATTTATTCAATATTAACTAGTCCCATTTTATCCAAACCACAATTTGGGGGAGACTTGTATAGACAATAGAAATGATTGTTTTGCTCTGTGTGTGTTTTGTTTGCAGAAACTTTGGAGAAGCACCAACAAGGGCAGCTTGTAGCCATGCTAACCGATGCTGGCGCCATTACCACCAAATCTGCTCAACTCACCAATGTCAATGCTGTCTAACTATATAGACTCAAGTAAATCTCTGTATAAACTGTTCCTCCTAGAGTTTAATAATATTGGTTGAAGAAGAAGATGATGATGATGATGATGTTGCAACCAAATGGTCCTTTTGCTTTTCCTCAGTAGATTGGCTTACTGGCCTTTTACAGGGTTGGATTATTGTGTAAGATATATAAGTACATGTTTCTGTTATTTGGCTTCAGTTGTTTCAACTTGTAGTTGCTATGTTATGTCACAAATTATTGCTTACCAATCTCCTTCTCTCTTCTAAAAGAGAACTATAATAGGGAATTTCTTAGGAACATGTTTGGTTGGATGGAAAAAGTTTTTCAAAAAATTATATTTTCTTACAAGAATTTCCTTAATTTTGTGGAAAAAGTATTTAAGGGGAGGGGTGGTATTTTGTCTTCATTGCTTACCAATCTCCTTCTCTCTTCTAAAAGAGAACTATAATAGGGAATTTCTTAGGAACATGTTTGGTTGGATGGAAAAAGTTTTTCAAAAAATTATATTTTCTTACAAGAATTTCCTTAATTTTGTGGAAAAAGTATTTAAGGGGAGGGGTGGTATTTTGTCTTCAATGAAAATTGGAAAGAAAGTATAATATGGTTAGACAATTTTGCCTTGGTTGTTTTCATTAGGAATAAGGGTCAAATAGGTCATTGAACTGCACCTAATAATGCAATTAGGTCATTGAACTTTAAAAAGTAACAATTAGCTCTTTGAACTAACTAATTCTATTGGATTAGTCCAATTTATAAGTTTTGGAGATTGTTAACAGGTCACTCCTAATTTATAATATTTTAAAAAAATTATTATTTAAAATAATTATTTAAAATTAAAATTAAAATTAAAAAAAAAAAAAAAAAAAAAGATACCGTCACTGCCGGAGACGAAGAAACCTTCTTCGTCTCTGGCCATGGAGACCGAGTTAATTTCTTCGTCTCTGGCCGGAGACGAAGAAGGTTCCTTCGTCTCCGGCCAGAGACGAAGAAGTTAACTCCGTCTCATTGGCCGGAGACGAAGAAACTCTTCGTCAAGAGTCTCTTCGTCTCCGGCCATAGAGACGAAGATATTCTTCGTCTCCGGCCATGGAGACGAAGAAGAACTCCGTCTCCAGCCAGAGACGAAGAACTCCGTCTCCATGGCCGGAGACGAAGAAACCTTCTTCGTCTCCGGCGTGTCGATCTGTTTTTTTTTTTTTTTTTTTTTTTTTTTAATTATTAATATTAAATAATTATTTTAAATAATAATTAAAATTTTTTTTGAAAAGGGATAACCTGCTAACAACATGGAAACTTACAAATTAGACTAATTGAATAGAATTCGTTAGTTCAAGGATCCAATTGTAGCTTTTTAAAGTTCGGTGGCCTAATTGCATTATTGAGTGCAGTTCGATGGCCTATTTGACCCTTATTTTCCTTTTTATTATTATTAATTTAAGGGCATTTTAGTCTTTATACTCATTATTTCTTACAATTTCAACCTCAACCAAATAACAGAATTAATATTCTTACTAATTTTTTTTTCACCAACTAAAAATTGTAATTAATTTTCTTAGTAATTTTTTTCTATGGAATTTCAATTTCATTTTCTTTCAAATATTTTTCGCGAACCAAACAGGATCTATAAATGTGCAGCTAAATTTATTGCACTGAAACATAAAATTGGAACTTAGTATGATTTATCTCTTTTGTGTATTTGTGAACTATTAGACTTTATTTGATACACACTCATTTCTCTCATCATCTAAATAATATGATTAAATTTGTGAAATTAAAAGTGATTTACAAGCTATTGAGGTTATTTAATGTACACGTTTTAATAGTGATTGTGTATTTTTTGAAGTAAAATTGACAATAACTCAATAGACTTTGGTGAAAACATAAAAGATTGTTCATAGAAAAACAAAATTAGGCACTTGTGAGCCTCCAATAAACTTCCTTGTAAAATGGGACCAGTTTCTCTACAAACTGAACCAATAACAGCCGCAAATATACTAAAGCCTACTAATATTATTTCCTTTTTCTTAATAGTATAGTATTCCTGAAGGAAACAGTGCAGTCTCATATTCTTGTCACCTATAGTACATCATAATCCAACTTTTTTCCATCAACAATTCATGCTGAGACTGGAGCACTGAGAAGTGATGATTCTTTGACATTCTGAAAAAAACAATGAAAAGAGCAAGTAAGAGATTCATTCTATATCTAAAGCAATTGCTAGGATTAAGTTCTCATTACTTTTGAAACTTGTATCCACAGATCAAGAGTATCCACAGCTTTGCCAGAAAGCAGCGTTTCTCGAGCAAGAGCCACTCCTTCACCCAGACTGTCTACACGCCCGCTAACAAATACAGCTGCGGCTGCATTCAGTACCTGTCAACATTTTCACGATAAGTAACCAGCTTGGTTGGCGTGAGTGGCCGTGCACTCTTATTCCTTAAGAGAGGTCGGGAGTTCGCCAACCCCTCTCGTATGGAAAAATCAATCTGGCCAGCACTTTGCCCCTTAATTGGGTCGAGCCAGTGCGAATAGGGATTAGTCTGAGTATGGTACGGGCTTAAAGGTGCATCCTACAGTTAGAGGACCTGCTCAGGACACCTTGTGGTGTGACCAAAAAAACATTTTCACGATAAGTTGGGATTATGTGAAATAGAGAAGCTCGGTCCATGAAGTTCCCACCAGTCCAGGGTCCGGGGAAGTGTTGGATTTTTTAGAGGTGTTTGGTCTTCCGTTATTATTATCATGTGCAAAGTTGAAGAAAAGCTACTTAGTACCAAACTTGTGCTGAGTTGTATCAATGAATATAAGAACAGAGGGGCTTACAAATGCATCGCCAATTGGACCACTTTCACCATGTAGCACTCGCCTAAGTGTCGCCGCATTGAAGTCCGGGGGTCCGCCTTTCAAGCTCTCCAAAGTGCAGCGCGGAATGCCAAAGTCCACTGTCCAATGATATCATCTTGTTAGATTAATTTGTAGAAACAGAAATGTAAGGGCACCATTGGAATTCATGCTCCTGAGTACGAGTGGCAGGGACTTTTCATTTAGTTGTGTGTAAGAAACTATGGCAACTTGCAAGAAAATTTTGAACTTGATTGAATGGAAGCAAGATACTTACATGGGTCAAATGGGAATTTTTCAATCTTAGAAGGGGTAACATCGACGATTAAGCCAGGCCCTGTTTACATGAATCATTTGCAAGGAAGCATTGTCGAATTAGGAACTTTAATCACGCATTTAAAACTCAAGAAAAGATAGCGATACTATAAACTAGCTCACACTGAATTTTATGTTTTCTACCAAAACCGATAATCTTACCAAGAGGGCTCATCTCATCTAGGCCTTCTGAGTGAACAACCAATGCTCTTTTCATCCCAAACCGTTGAACTGCTTTTGCCATTTTGTGGACCTAAAACACATCGATTCTTTCAGAAGATACGTATGCAGATAGCAAGTCGGAGTGAACTCGTAAGCAGAAAAAACGAAAAAAAAATAAAATAAAATAAAAAAAATCGGGGGAGTGGGGGTGGGAGAGAAAGGATATAATGGAACTCACGAGGTCTTCTTTGTTTACTCCAATGACAGCAAAAGGCACTCTGGCTGGATTTAACATCGGGCCCAGGATATTAAATATCGTCTTGACTTTGAGTTTCTTCCTGACAGGACTAACAATCTTCATTGCAGGGTGGTAGATGGGAGACATCATAAAGCCAATCCCTGCTTCATTTACACACTTCTTAACCCCCTGTCCCAACAACAATGAGAGAGACTAGTCACCATAACCATTATAGGAAAAAAATATATATAATACAGTACATCGTAATGAGCTTTATTACCCAAACGGTTCAACGGTCTTATTTAAATGCACTAAAGAAAATGATTAACAATCTTAAAGTTTAGCGCACATGCTATCCATGTAAAAGTATATCACGTTTGTCCAACTAATTCTACCTAATACTATACCCAGAGGCTTGGGCTATAAACTTTGTTTTCTTTTCCACCCTAAAACCTCGTGTTACACAACTTCACCTGACCATTGCCAATGTAGTAAACAAAAAAAGTGTGACAATTGTTTGATAACACCTACAAAATCTCTTGATACTACACCCTTTTTTGAATAGCTTTTATATGTTTAAAAAATAGATAAACATGTTTTACTAACAATTTTGTTAGATGTATCCCAAAAAATTATATTAATTCTGGATTTAATACAAACCTCAGGGTCTAGCTCGATAGCAACCCCTAGTGTTTCCAGCACATCGGCGCTCCCACAAGCAGATGAACTAGACCTATTTCCTTGCTGCAAGGAAATCAAAGTAGTTTTCAGCCCCGATTATCATTAAGGCGTTAAAGGATTAAAAATCAAGAAGGAAATGGGAAAAAAAAAAAAACCATTTAACGCTATTAGAACGAAGGAGCTTTGTCAACCTTTGCAACTTTGACACCACAAGCCGCAGCAAGAATTGAAGCACCCGTAGAAATGTTAACCGTGTTTGCACCATCACCACCTGTGCCAACAATATCAACTGCACCTTCTAATCCTTCAACTCTTCTACAATGCTTTATCATAGCCCTTGCCATTCCCACCACCTAACCATTCAAAATCGAACTCTCGGAATATTGAACCAGACATTTGCATCAAACAATTCATCAATGCATAAGTCGATCATAGAAAGATGATACATACTTCTTCATAAGTTTCTCCTTTAGCCCTCAAGAGAACAAGAAAGGCGCTAATCAGTGCCTCGTCAGCACCATCCAACAGAAAATCAAGGGATTCTTCAGCTTCAGATTCAGTCAAGTCTTTTCCACTAATCAAAGTCTCAATCAACTAACATATAAAATCCAACAAAACCCCAAAACAAATCAATAATCAGTCTATAAGGTAAAACACATGAAAACAACAATCCAGAAAAAAAAAAATCCCAATTTGTTACATTAAACATAGAACACAAATTGCCTGAATAAGGTAAAACACATATGACAACAATAATCCAGTAAAAAAAAAAAAATCCCAATTTGTTACATCAAACATAGAACACAAATTGCCTGAAACAGATTCTACAAATAGGCCATCAAGCAACCATGGTTTTGATCCATTCCAAATCTCATTTCACCTTTTCTTAAACAAGGGTCAAAGCTGCCAGCCTAACAGATTATAGTTCGGATTCATTCAAGAGAAGGGGAAACAACAGAAAATAAAAATCAAACCTTTACCTGACTAAAAGTGGGTATGGATGAAGAATTCTTGGTTGAATTAGGCAATGCAGAGAGAACAGAAGAGCACCTCCTAATCTGGGTATTCGACAGGAAAGCTGGACTTTGCTCATATCTGAAGCTCAACGCCCTGGGAAGGAGACACGTGCGGTTCTGAGATGACCCGGAGGCAGAAAGAGCAGAGAATCGGAAGGAGCATTGTACGAGAGCCATATCTCTGATTCTGGACAGATTGTTCACTTCTTTCTGGTTTATCAATAAGAATGTAATAAATGCAGAAAGGGAAATCCCACTTGGCTATGAAATTTGGTGGAAAATCGGCTCCAGTCACTCGTCAGAGGGTGTAGTTGGCAATCATAAGGAGTTAATGATAGTAATGGCGACTGGGTACGAGATTGTTGATATTTGCCCACACAATCCGTGTATGTCTTTGACTATTTTTCCCCCAAATATGTCTTTGACTCTTGTGAGAGGGGGAGAGGGTTGTTTTTTCTTCTTCAAGTCACAAACTCAGAATCGATTATTACAGATTTACAAATGATGCAGTTTAAAATTGGTAAATTTAATTATCATATATTTAGATATAAATTTGATCCCATTTTTTCATATGATTTGAAATTACAAAGACTAAAGCCCGTTTGGTTGGAGGATATCAAAATTCTACTCTTACATAATTTCTAACTAATTAACAAATTCTTTTATATGGTTAGAGAGAATTACAATTTTTCTATTTTCATGAAATTATGCTTATTTCTTAGGCTAATTCACATAGTATTTCGTCCATACAATTATGTAAATTATTTTAATTCACATATTATTACACATATAAAATTATGCTAGTGGTTATTTTTGAATAAAATCTTAATAATTATGGTAATTAAAAAATTAATTCACACATTATATTTTTTTAAAACTGTTTTTTTTTTAATACTTGTCGTACTATAGATTATATCTAATCAATTAATAAAATTAATGGTACACATATTAGACATAATTAAATGAAATTAAATATACACATATTACGGCCATAATTAAAAAAATTAAACATACACATATTACGTCAATAATTAAACAAAATTAATCATACACATATTATTTTAATTAAGAATAATATACATTCTTTAATTACCATAATTATTCAAATTTCATGAACGTCATAATCTATATATATATATATATATATATATATATATATATATATATATATATATATATATATATACAAAATCTTCCAATTTTATTTTCCCGCTCAAACTTGTGTAGTAAAACCTATTTGGTAAGCAAATGTAAAATGGAAATTAATTAAAATTTATTAATTGATAATATTACATAATTACACCTTTCCTTTTTGAAAAATTATACAAGTTTATAATTCTCATATTTTCTATCTATAAATACAATGGATTGGTGAGTTTGGAAATCATAATTTTTCCTTTTGCACTGGTTCCCTCTTCTTCCTGTTCTCTCTGTGGAATCATATATTGGTGTTGCACTCATGAAAATGTAAATATTTTTTTACAGTTTTCAAGATTAATAATAATAATAATAATAATAATATTATTATTATTATTATTATTGTTGTTATTATTATTATTATTATTATTATTATTACTATTATTATTATTATTATTATTAATATTATTATTATTATTATTATTATTATTATTATTATTATTATTATTATTATTATTATTATTATTATTATTATTATTATTATTATTATTATTATTATTATTTTGCAATTGTAGCTTGAAGTGTTTTTAGTGCCGTTGGATCCTAAGGATTGGGCGTTGATGGAGACCCGTGTAACATTGACTACAAAGCTGATTTCTTAATTTTTCGGCAGCAAGGAAGGGCCGACGTTTTTCTTATCAGAAATCAAACTCTTCTTCTCCTCACAGGCAACGAAGCGTTTTGCCGAACCGGAAAGTGATTCTTTTTTTTTTTTTTTCTCTTTATTCCTCTGAGATAATTACAAGATGTATACGAAAAACAAAACAGAACCCTGGTTTCAACACCAAAAACATAGAAGTTAAGGATAGAGACTGAGGACTAAGCCACGGATCTGAACTAACAAATAATGTATAATATTATTAGTACAAAATAATGTATAATATTATTAGTACAAAATGTCAAAATAGTATAATTAATACAATATACACTTAATATGTGTGTATACACTTAATGTATAATATTATTAGTACAAAATAAATTATACTTGTCTTAAAAATTAATTATTAATATTATTGCCTAATAATTATGTATTATTACCTTTTTTGGTGTAATTATTATGGTAATCTATATACATATATATTTTTATACTTAATATATAATATTATTGGCACAAAATAAATTATTATTACCTTAATATATAATTAATTTTTAATATAATTTCCTAATTTTTATTATTGGTAATTATTCTAATAATTTTTCTTTTCTTCTTTCGTGTAATTACTATGGTAATGTATTTAAATATTGAAAGAGAACAAGTATTATAATTAATATAATTAATGAAATTATTATGGTAATTGCCACAATATTTGGTAATTTTAATTAATGAAATTGAGAAATATAAGATTTATTATGTGAAAATATTTTTGACAATTTCATTAAATTATAATGAATAAAATATGAAATATAATTAAGGAAATGAAATTATAAAATTAACAAAATATAAACATTTATAAAAATTTCAAATACATACATACGCTTATGCACTATACTAATCATACAAAATTTAAATGCTACTTTTTAAATTTCTAATAATTTTTAAAGTATAAATCTATCAATATAAGTCTATACTATTATTAAAAATAAAATTCTCATTCTTACTTTCCCGCCCAAACAATAAAAAAGGAAAAAAATTTACCAATTAATAATACTAATAATAATTAATAAAAATGTTAGTAGTAAAATAGAAAAAAAAATCCTTAATTCACGAAAAATAAAAAAGAAAACGGAATTCACTGATTAATTAATACTAACAATAATCAGTAAAAAATTTTTGTAGTAAAATAGGAAAATAAAAAAGATCCTTAATTCACTAAAAATGGAAATATAAACGGAATTTACCGAGTATTACTAATAATAATAAACAATAAAATAGGAAAATAAAAGGAGTCTTAATTCAATGAAAATGAAAAAAACATGGAATATTGTGAAAAAAAAAGTAATAATAAGGATAGCAATAAAAAAAAATCCTACCAAAAATTAGAAAAGTAAAAAAGATTCTTATTTCACGAAAAATAGAAAAGAAAACGGAATTCACTGATTAATTAATACTAATAATAATCAGTAAAAAAGTTAGCAGTAAAATAGAAAAATAAAAAAGGATCCTTAATTCACTAAAAATCTATACTATTATTAAAAACAAAATCATCATTTCTTACTTTTCCACTCAAACAATAAAAAATGGGAAAAAATTACCAATTAATAATCTTAATAATAATTAGTAAGAAAGTTAGTAGTAAAATAGAAAAAAAAATCCTTATTTCACAAAAAATAGAAAAGGAAACAGAATTCTATCAGTAAAAAAAGTTTGTAGCAAAATATAAAAATAAAAAAGGATCCTTAATTCACTAAAAATGGAAATATAAACGAAATTTTAATAATAAGTAAAATAAAAAAAAAATAAAAAAAGAGTCTTAATTCAATGAAAATGGAAAAAAAATAGAAGGTTGTGAAAAAGGGGTCATAATAAGGACCATAATAGTAAAAAAAAATAGAAAATCCTACCAAAATTTTTATAAAAAAAAAGATTCTTAATTCACGAGAGAAATTAGAAAAGAAAACGGAATTCACTGATTAATTAATACTAATAATAATCATTAAAAATGTTAGCAGTAAAATAGAAAAAAAAAGATCCTTAATTCACTAAAAATGAAAAAAGAAACGAAATTCAATGATTAATACTAATAATATTGAGTAAAATTGAAAAATAAAAAAGGATTCTTAATTCAATGAAAATGAAAAATGGAAATGAAATGTTGTTTTAAAAAAAGGGTCATAATAAGGATAACAGTAAAAAAAATCTTACTAAAAATTTAAAAAATAAAAAAGATCCTTAATTTATCAAAAATTGAAAAGAGAACGAAATTCACTGATTAATTAATACTAATAATAATTAGAAAAATTAAAAGTTAGCAGTAAAATAGAAAAATAAAAAAGGATCCTTAATTCACTAAAAATGGAAAAAGAAATGAAATTCACTGGTTAATACTAATAATAAGCAGTTAAATAGGAAAATATAAAAAGATTATCAATCTATACTATTATTAAAAACAAAAATCTCTTCCTTATTTTCCCCGCCCAAACAATATAAAAAGAAAAAAAAAATCTATACTATAATTAAAAACAAAATTCTATTTACTTGATTTCCCGCCCAAACAATAGTAAATAATACAGGTAAAATAAAAAATGATGGAAAAAAAAAAGAAAAAATATTTCACAATAATATTCTACATCATCAATTAAAAATGGAATGAAAATTAGGTAAATTGGAAAAAGGAATGAATATTAATAATTGACAGAAAATTAAAGATAGAAAAAAGAACAAAAATTAGGTTAATTGAAAAAGGAAATGAATATTAATAATTGTCTTAAAAAAATGATCCATAATTGATTAAAATAGAAAAGATAATGGTCAGATAATTGCATTTAAAATTTTCACAATAATATTACACATTATAATACATCAAATTACAATTATGTCATAAATCTTTCACAAATTTAAACAATAGAATGGAAATATCTCAATAATAATATTTTACATAATCAAGTAAATGTAAATTAAAAATGAAACAAAAATTATGTAAAAATATCATTGCATCTGATATTTTAATTGGCTAATTGACTAAAAATAAAAAAGAAATAATTGGCTGAAAATGAATATGATATTACTAATTGACTGAAAATATAAAAGGAAATAAATATTAATAGTTGATTGCAAATAAAAAATGATCCATAATTGACTAATATAAAAAAATGGTCAGATCATTGCATTTTAATTAAAAATGGAAGGGAAACTAAAATTGAACGGAAATATTTCAATAATAATATTCTACATCATAAATAGTAAATGCATATTTTAAACAATAGTAAATGTAAATTAAAAATGGAACGGAAATATTTCAATAATAATATTATACATCATCAATAAAAAATGGAATGGAAATTAGGTAAAAATATCAATGATATTCTAATTGACTAAAAATAAAAGAGAATAATTGGCTGAAAATGAATCTGATATTACTAAATCACTTAAAATATAAAAGGATTGCTAATTGACTAATATTCTACCATTATATATTTTCACCCGAGTCACCCATCCTGATCTAATGGAGGTGTTAGCTCTAGACCATGGTGAACAAGATTGTGTCGCTACTACCAATGTCGTCTACAAAGATGTTTCAATAATGTGTAAATAAAATTGTTGATATTATGTTTTTTTAAATGACAAAATTTCTATATATAAATATATATATATATATATATATATATATATATATATATATATATATATATATATATATATATATATATATAGGCAAAAAAAAAAAATCTTTCATACAAATGAATTAAGATAGAAATTAATTCATATAACTGAGTTGCTAGAGAACGAGCACATTTGCCTAATTTATAAAAAAAATACTAAACAATGATAAATAAAATCTCCAAAATTACAGCACTGCATGCGTGTATATCTACACATTAGCTATTAATTTGAGCAATTATTTGCTTAAATTCAAGCAATGATAACATCAAAAGATATAAATGATCCAAATTGTATCTTCACTTGCACTATATAATATTTGATGTTCTAATTTAAATAATTATATATCGATCCAAATATTTTTAATATATTACAACAAATTCATTCCGTGCATCGCAATAATGTAAATACTAGTATATATATATATATATATATAAGTAAAATCATAAGAGCCAAGTTTTTCCCCCAAAATTTAGAGGCATTTTTATAATATCATTCAATTTATATATCTTATACGTGTATATATATATATTCTATACCTTCTTACTTACCAAAGCTTACCAAATATATTCTATACCTACTTACTTACCAAAGCTTACCAAATATATTATTATATAGATTGAATCTATTATTATTACCTTTATTCATGCCTAAACATAAATGCATATTAATCCAAATTGTCTTAATGCATATATATGTAAACCAATTTTTCTTTTGCGTTACTTCCGTATATAATTTTATTTCTATTACATTATTATTATATTAAATATTTTATATATATATATATATATATATATATATATATATATATATATATATATATATATATATATATATATATAAGTAAAGTCCTCCTACATCATTTTCACGCCTAAATTTGGGTACTAAATTAATTAAATATTTTATATTTTTTAGTCAAATAATTAATAAATCTTATTTGGTAAGCAAATGCTTAAAATGTATTAATTGGTAATATTGCATAATTATGGTATTGTAAATGTATTAATTGATAATCAATTTATAGTAATATGAATATTATGCATGGGAATAACAGATGGAACACGGATTTGGAAAACGAAATGAAAATTAAACAAAAGGAAACGTGTATTATTAATGGATTGAAATTATAAAAATTCCTAATTGACTGAAAATATAAAAGGAAATGGAAAATGAAACTTATATTATTAATTTATAATTCTCACATTTCCCACCTATAAATACAATCCATTGGTGACAAAAAAAATGTAATTCTTCATTGCTGGTGACTCTCTCATTCCCTTATTTCTCTGCCGGTAAGAAATCATGATTTTGGATGCAGGTTTTCTTTAAAAATAACTCTCTTTAGTTGATAGATGAATGATTTTGTGATGTCTAAGTGACCTTTCTCATGAACTTTTTAAATTAATTGCAGACTGGTAGAAAACCATGTGGGATTTGTGGCGCAGCATTGTATATATCTGCACTCTCTTATGGGTCCATTGGTGATGTCGTTATAAGCACTATTGAAGATTTGTATAGCCAAGAAGAGGTTATTTTAATTTTATTTAGTTATTATTGTATCATATTAACTGTCCAAAATTTGTAGGTGGGGGATTCTTATGTTCCTGCCAGTATAGTTGGTATTGAAAGCACTGGTGAACGGTATTATACTTCTAAGAAATTAACTGTTCATGATGTAGAGCTTATGTATTGTGTTAAATGTAATAGAAAATGACTAGAGAGAACAAATAAATTTGGTTGTAATGGTGTCTATACACAATAGGTGGTGGTCCTTTTTTTTCCTATGGGACCGGGAGTGTTCGGATGAAGCAGCATTAAGGGTTTATGTGGTTCGCTTGACAAAACAACAATCAAGCAAAAGCTAAATCGAATTAAGGGGTGAGGACGCTGTAGATGAAGGCCTTTTCTCATTTTGCTAGAGAGAGTGTGAATGTGACGGTGAAGAAAGAGAAAAGAAAATGGAGAGATTTTTTTTTTTTTTTTTTTTTTAACCAGAAGTTTCAGTTTCTATGTTTTTCGTATACAAATTTATAATTGTAAATTTATATTAATAAATAATTATTAAGACCTATAATTTATTTTATAGTGTGGATACATTATTTTTAATAATTTTGATTTAATAATATTATACCTTAATTATAAAAATTCTACCTAATAATTATAGTATTAAACGACATACAATAATTATCATAAATAATGTTTAATAATTGACAAACTCTATTAGGAAATAAAAATTACTATTATAAAATATTTTGTAATATGGACACATTATTTTGATTATTTCGATTTAATAATATCATATCTTATTTATAAAAATTTGAAGTAATACATTTAGTACTATTGAACAAATTTCAAATATATGAAATATTATACATAGTAGTATGAAATCAATTAGTAGGACAATTATATTAAGTAATCTAATTAATAATTTATTTTTTTAAATTATATCCTCTTTTCAATAATTAATATTTTCTTAAAGTATATACACATACTATGTTTATCAATATAGAATTATATATATATATATATATATATATATATATATATATATATATATATATATATATATATATACACACACACACACACACACACACACACACACACTTAATGTATAATATTATTCGCATAAAATAAATTATATTGGATTAATATTTGATGCACCATCGGTGTATAGATGCTATACACCGGCGGTGAATGAGGAGATGACACATAAACTAAAATCAATACTAATTTTCACGAAATGGAAGAAGATGAAAAAAGAGTAACAGTTTCATTGGCTTGCAACTGGAGGACCAAAGGTCCCTTTTATACAAGAGATACAAGAAAGAAGAGATGAAGCTAACTGCTAATCAGAATCAGAAACAGAATACAAACTACCAAGAAGAGGAGGAGGATAAGATGGTGACACGTAGCAGCCAGGTGTCAATATCCTATAGTCCTAAAAGCCCCCCTCAAGCTGGATTGTACAAATCTAACAATCCAAGCTTGGAAATGTAATTGTGGAAAGAACTTGGACAATGTGCCTTAGTAAAAGTATCAGCTAGCTGATTTGCAGATGATACATGGAACAGCTTGATTACTCCTCTGTTGAGCTTCTCTCTAATTAGGTGACAATCCAGTTTTATGTGTTTCGTACGTTCATGGAACACAGGGTTCTCTGCAATAGCAATGGCAGACCTGCTATCACAATACATAGCCACAGGAGTAGTCTGGATTACCCCAAAGTCTGCAAGCAGAAAGCATAGCCATTGGACTTCACATGTTGTTGTTGCTAAGGCTCTATACTCAGCCTCTGATGATGATTTAGAAATGGTGGCTTGCTTTTTTGACTTCCATGAGACCAGGGCATCCCCTAGGAAAGTGAAAAAACCAGTAACAGATTTCCTTGTGTCCAAGCAGGCCCCCCAATCAGAATCTGAGAAAGCTTTCAGCTGTAAATCAAAAGAGGAAGGGAAAGATAGGCCTTGGCCTGGAGCTGCCTTGATGTACCTTAATACTCTATGGACAGCTTGTAGATGAAGGTGAGTGGGGTTGTCAAGGAACTGGGACAACTGTTGTGTGGCAAAGCTAATGTCTGGTCTTGTGATGGTCAGATACAAGTTACAACAACTTACCAACAAGCCTCCTGTACTGAGAATTGTCTGCTAGAGGTTCTCCATCATTTTTGCTAAGTTTGTGGGATGGAACTGTGGGGCTGTGAACTGCTTTGGAGTTGGTGAAACCAGCATCATTGAGTAACTCAAGGGCATATTTCCTCTGACAAACAGCAATACCTTTGCTTTGCCTAGCCACTTCCAAACCAAGAAAGTACTTCAAAGCCCCTAAATCTTTTATTTTGAAGTTTATATTCAACTGTCTTTTTACCTCTTGAATGGCCTCTAAGTCAGAACTGGTCACAACAATGTCATCCACATAGACTAGTAGTGCCACAAAAGAGCCTTCTTTCGTTCTGGTAAACAAGGAGCTATCAGTCATGGATTGCTTAAATCCCATACTGTGTAGGGCAATATTCATCTTAGTATTCCATTGCCTACTGGCTTGTTTCAGCCCATATAATGACTTGTTTAACTTGCAGACCTTCCCATTATTTGTGCCAGGAAATCCAAGTGGTGGTTGCATATATACTTCTTCATTTAAATCCCCATGTAAGAAAGCATTGTTGACATCCATTTGGTGGAGGTGCCAGTTCTTTGCTGCTGCTATTGCCAGGAGGACTCTAATGGTGGTCATCTTGGCTACTGGACTGAAGGTATCTAAATAATCAATACCAAGTGTTTGAGTATACCCCTTTGCCACAAGTCTTGCTTTATATCTTTCTATAGTGCCATCAGACTTGTATTTGATTTTGTAGACCCACTTGCAGCCAATTGGCTTTTTGGAAGGGGGCAAATCCACTAATTCTCAGGTGTTATTCTTTTCCAGTGCACTAATCTCTTCTTTCATGGCTTTTGTCCAGCATTCATACTTTGCTGCCTCTTGGTAATTCTTTGGTTCAACTTGGCAGGAAATGTTCATAACAAAGGATTGAAAATGTGGTGACAGTCTGTCATAACTGAGGACTTTGCACATGTCATGGGGAGATGTCTTTACAGATGTACTTTGACATACATAGTCTTGTAAGTAATGTGGAGGTTGTTTCTGCCTGGTTGACCTTCTATTAACTTGTTGTTGGGGAATCTCAGAGGGAGGGATATGAGCCACATCATCAGACACCTGCTCATTTGACACCTGCTCATCATCATATATCTGCTCATTTGTCCCACTCCATGAATGAGTCTGCTCAACATTCTGCTCATCAGGAGATTCACATCCAGAATTAGAACTTGTCTGGATTCTACATTCAGTGGCTTGTCCCTGGGGAATTTCTGGAAACTCAATGGGAATAGTTCCATCAGTGGGAAGTATGATCTGAGGGGTTCCATTCCCTGCATCATCAACCTGCTGGAAAGGAAAAATGTCCTCACAAAAAATCACATCTCTTGATATAGACATTTCTTTGGATTTGAGATCATACACCTTGTAGCCCTTCACACCATTAGCATAGCCAAGGAAGATGCAGTTCCTAGCCCTTGCATCCAACTTAGACTTAGGTCCTAGCACAGTAGCATAGGCTAGGCATCCAAGAACTCTTAAGTGTTGGAACTGAGGTACTTTCTTCATTAGGACTTGGTAGGGAATCTTGTTGTTTAGAGCAGTTAATGGGAGCCTGTTTATTATGTAAGCAGCATGTAGAACACATTCCCCCCAAAACTTCTCTGGAAGATTGGCCTGAAACCTAAGAGCCCTGGCAATTGAAATGGAATTGCATACAGACAAATATTCAACTGGAAAGACTAGGTAGTATAGGCTATTTCTCAGCTCAACCCTTCCAATCACCTTCCCATGGATAGCATCCTGTATAACACACTTATCAGACTGCATTTCTATGACACATTTGGTGTTCTTAGCAAGAGCTCCTACTGAAATCAGATTATAATGGAAACCAGCAACATAAAGCACATTATGCAAAATAAGCTCAGCAGACAGATGAACTGATCCAGTAAAGCTAATAGCAGCTTGTTGGCCATTTGGCAAATCAACATGTAAATTGTGGACTTCCTTTTGATCACTTAATATTTCCAAATCACAAATAATATGGTGGGTAGCACCACTATCCACAATCCAGTCATTCTTGTTGATTTTAACAGAGTTGAGTGAAGGAAGCATACCTTCATTCTGGAAACCAGTGGATAAAGTGTTGACTAGAGCCTTTGGGGGTTGATCAAAAGGTGAATTCAAGCTCTCACTGGTTGGTTTCTTGGACTGCATGAACTCAAGAAACCTTGCAAAATCATCATGAGTGAATGACACCCCATTACTGTTAGTCTGCTGGTGTGTTGATGATCCTTGTGTTTGATTTGCACTTGCATAGCCTCGATTCTTGGATTTAGGTCTCCAGCCTGGGGGATACCCATACTTCTTATAGCATTTGTCTTCTGTATGCCCTGTGTAGCCACAATGTGTGCACACAGGTCTTTTATTTGTTGTTGAAAACTTCTTGAACCCTGCCTGAGAGTTTCCATCTGTTCTAGCCATAAACACACTGCCTGTGGTGTTACTTTCCCCAGTTTGTTGTAGTTGGCTTCCAAAGCCAATATCAGCCATTTGAAACTGTCTTTCTTGTTGAGAAATCATTGAATAGGCTTCATTAACATCAGGCAAAGGCCTCATAAGCATAATTTGGTTCCTAGCTCCTGTGTACTTCTCATGCAATCCAATCGAGAAGATGGATAGCTTATCTTTTCTAGAGTATTCATTCAATTCATCAATCTTTTTGCCACATTCACATTTAACATTGCAGGTACAACTCATCAAGGGCCTAAGAATACTCAATTCATCCCACAATAACTTTTGCCTAGTGAAATACTCATTCAGTGAACTGTCTCTCTGCTTAGTTTGGTAAATTTCACAATTGATCTCTGCAATGCGAAAGAGGTCTTGTTTATTGAACCTCCTCTTGAGGTCATTCCAGATACCACAAGCTGTATCAATCCACAATACGCTGTGTGCAATTGTTGGAGCTAGGGTTCGCACAATCCAGGATCCAACAATATTGTTACATCTTTCCCAGGCAAGCTACTTTTCTACATTATCCATGCTCGGTTTTGTAATGGTTCCATTGATGAAGGCCACCTTGTTTTTACAGGATAAGGCCATAGTCATGGCTCTGGCCCAAGGATGGTAGTTTGAGCCATCTAACTGGAATGAGACTAATTCCAGTGCCGGATTTTCATTCATGTGCAAGAAGTAAGGATTTGAGTGAGCCTGAGGGTCAAATTTTACCTCTCTGGCATTAGTTGTGGAAGACGAGGGGATCGGATTTGGATTTCCAGTAGCTTGATTTGCTGTTGGATCTGCCGTAGTGTAATTTCCCGGTGTGGTTCGTTCTCCGATCGAAGGCCACGCCGTCATTGGATTAGGTTGGACCGCCATTGGAGCAGATTGAGTGAGTTCTCAATCTCTTTGCTCTGATACCATTTCACGAAATGGAAGAAGATGAAAAAAAGAGTAACTGTTTCATTAACTTGCAACTGGAGGACCAAAGGTCCCTTTTATACAAGAGATACAAGAAAGAAGAGATGAAGCTAAATGCTAATCAGAATCAGAAACAGAATACAAACTACCAAGAAGAGGAGGAGGATAAGATGGTGACACGTAGCAGCCAGGTGTCAATATCCTATAGTCCTAAAACTAATTGAGTCCTTTTATGCAAAATAACTAAGATTTGTATTTTTTAGGAAACTTCGTTTATTTTTAATTAACAAAATACATATACTTTCCTAAACATATTTATTACTTAATTATTATTTTTTATTATATATATCTAATTATGTAACTATTATTATTGAAAGATTAATAACCTGTACGTTAATTAACACAATATAATGCATCACATATTAATTCATTAGTTAATTATTGGATTAATCCATTATTAAAAAGTTCGCAAATTATGCCGAGCAATCCTGTGCACCATGCATGGTGTACACGGTTGCAAAAACGGCGTTGTTTTGATTAAAAACGACGCGTCCGACTTAAAAAAAATCAGTTTTGATTGTCGTTAACGGCGTTATATGGCACAACATAACGCCGTTAACGGCAATCGAAACTGATTTTTTTTTTGTTCAAGTCGGATGTCAAAACGACATCGTTTTTGCAACCGTGTGCACACGGTTGCACATCATAACGCTCCTAAAAAGTTACAATGTAATACACTCCACACACCAATATCCAATAATTTGACTATTACAAAATATTTGATTAAGTGTTGATTTTTTACATTATTGAATATATATTGCAATTTTATACAAGATATTGGAATTGTTTCTAATAGTAATTAAGGTTATAATTTAAATTTAAGAGTTTAGGGGTTTAAATAGATTTAGGAGTTATTAATATAGATATAGGAAATTATATGGTTTTTATTAATTAAAATTAAAGAATTCTTAATTATAAATATAATAATTTAGAAATTTATTTTTAGATATCAATTAGAATTCTTAATTATAATAGTTTGAGTAAAGAACCTGTTATTTAACACTATTGTTTTTTTTGAAAGTATTTAACACTATTGTTAATTAGAATTCCTTTACAGGTTAATTAACATTAATGGATTAATCCTGTAATTAAATAATGGATTAATGTAATAATTAACTAATGAATTAATATGTGATGCATTATGTTAATTAACGTGCAAGTTATTAATATTTCATTAATAATAATTAAATAATTAGATATATATAATAATTAAGTAAGAAATATGTTTAGGAAAAAATATATATTTTGTTAATTAAAAATAAAAGAAGTTTCTTAAAAAATACAAATCTTAGTTATTTTGCATAAAAGGACTCAATCAGTATTGCTTTTAGTTTTTAATGATGTGTCATCTCCTCATTTACCACCGGTGTATAGCATCTATACACTGACGGTGCATCAAATATTAATCCAATTATATTTACCCTAATATATAATTAATTTTTAATATAATTTCAAAATTTTTATTAATGATAATTATTCTAATAATTTTTCTTTCCTTTCGTGTAATTATTATGGTAATGTATTTTAATATTGAAAGAGAACAAATATTATAATTAATATAATTAATAAAATTATTATGGTAATTGCCACAATATTTGGTAATTATAATTAATATAATTATTGAAACTGAGAAATATAAGATTTCTTCCCTAGAAATATTTGTGGCAATTTCATTAAAATATAATTAATAAAATATGAAATATAATTAAAGAAATAAAAGTATAAAATTAACAAAACATGTGGTCTAATGGTACCCGGGTTGGACTTCCATTTGGAAGGTTACGAGTTCGAGCCTCAGTGGAGGCGTTATTGGTTCTTTGTGTTTCAGTAGGTTGAGAAAGTATATGAACAGATACTACAATGTAATAGGGCCAGTAACATTCAAAAAAAAAAAAAAAAACAAAACATGAAAATTTATATATTTTTAAAAAATATATATACGCTTATACACTATAATAATCGTAAAATATTTAAATGCTACTTTTTAAATTTTTAAATTTAATTTTTAATTATAAATCTATCAATATGAATTATAATTAATGAAATTATATTATAGAATTTTTTTATATACATATTAATAAATGTCTGTATATACAATGTATTATACAATTATATAAGGAAATGCGTTCTATCAGAGTTTAAATTTATTCATACAAAATTTAGAATTTACATTTTTTTATTGATTTCTAAGTACAATTCTCTTAGTTAGTATTCATTTTTTTTAGAATTATAATATATATGAAATACAATTAGGAGTAAATCAACTTAATTATGTGAATTTTTTAAATAAATTTATCTAAATCTGTACATGATTTTTATATTAACCATACGAAATTTTAATTTTAATTTTGTATGTTATGAAAATAGATACTTGACCAAATATATAAAAGTCCAACTATATTATTATATTGTACATTATAACATCTTTTCATTATTTTCTATTTTTAATTTTAAATTCATAATATAAAAAAAAATTCCGTGCAACGCACGAGAAATACACTATATTTTAAAAAATACAATTTGATAAATATCATTAATTAATTAGTACAATATCATTTCTGTTTATAATAATTAAAGAAAAAATAAATAATTCAAATATGTGAACCAATGATTTCAAAATGAAATTAATATAAAGTTACAAATAAATATATCATGATTAGATTTACTTTAATTAGTTTTAATTTCCTTAATGAAATGATTTTTCTTTATCCGTTTTTAGGATACTGAGGGAGTGTTTGGATTGCTGGAAAATCTATACCATAATTAAAAGTAAAATTCTATTTACTTGATTTTTCACCCAAACAATAGTAAATAGTAAAGGTAAATTGAAAAAGGAACAGAAATATTTTACAATAATGATCTACATCATAATTTATTAAAAATGGAACAAAAATTAGGTAAATTGGAAAATAAATGAATATAATTAACTGAAAATTAAAAATGAAAAATATAAACTGAAATTAGGTTAATTGGAAAAGGGAATGAATATTAATAATTGACTGAAAATAAAAAATGATCCATAATTGACTAAAATGAAAAAAAAAATTGTAAAATTATTGCATTTTAATTTTTCACAATAATATTACACAGTAGAATAAATCAAATCATAATTATATCATAAATCTTTCACAATTTTATACAATGGTACAGAAATTAAAAATGAACCCGAAATATTTCAATAATAATATTCTACATCATCAAGTAAAATAAAATAAAAAAATGGAAAGGAATGATTTCGATTAAATATTTTACACCATCAATAGTAAAGACATATTTTAAACAGTAGTAAAGGTAAATTAAAAATGGAACCGAAATATTTCAATAAAAATATTCAACATCATCAATTAAAAATGGTTCGGATAGGTAAAATTATCGCTGCATCTGATATTCTATTTTATTAATTGACTGAAAATAAAAAAAAATTGCCTGAAAATAAATCTGATATTATGAATTGACTGAAATTATAAAAGGAAATAAATATTAATAATTGACTGCAAATAAAAAATGATCCATAATTGAAATGAAAAAAAGAAATTGACAGATCATTGCATTTTAATTAAAAATGGAAAGGAAATTAAAAATTTGACGAAAATATTTCAATAATAATATTCTACATCATCAATAGTAAATGCATATTTTAAACAATAGTAAAGGTAAATTATAAATAGATGAACGAAAATATTTCAATCAAAATATTCTACATCATCAATTAAAAATGGAACGGAAATTAAGTAAAAATATCAATGTATCTAATATTCTAATTGACTAATTGACTGAAAATAAAAAAGAATAATTGCCTGAAAATGAAACTGATATTACTAATTGACTGAAAATATAAAAGGATCACTAATTGACTGAAAACTAATTGACTGAAAATATAAAAGGATCACTAATTGACTGAAATTCTACCATTATATATTTTCACCCGAGTTATCCATCTTTTTGGACTAAAGGTGTTAGCTCTAGACGAAGATGGACAAGATTGTGATGTTACTACCAATGTTGTCTACAAAGAGGTTTCAATAGTGTGTAAATACAATATGTGATATTATGGGTTTTTAAATGGCAAAATTTATATATCTAGACAAAAAATATGTTTTCCATACAAATATATTAGGATATCAATTCATTTTTATAACTGAGTTGGTAGAGAACGAGCACATTTGACTAATTTATAAAAATACTGAACAATGATAAATAAAATCTCCAAAGTTACAGCACCGCATGCGTGCATTTACATATTAGCTATTAATTTGAGCAATTAATAACATAAAAATACATAAACGATCCAAATCATACCTTCAATTGCACTATATAATATTTGATATTCTAATTTATATAATTATATATCAATCCAAATATTCTTAATATATTACAACAAATCCATTCCGTGCATCGCACGGGCGCATATACTAGTCTATATATATATAAAAGTAAAATCCTCCTATGTAATTTTTCCGCTCAAACTTTTATAGTCAAATTAATGAATTATTTTATTGGTCAAATTAATAAAACTTATTTGGTAAGCAAATGTAAAATGGAAATGTTATAAAAGCTATTAATTGGTAATATTATGCAATACCAATATACCATTGTGAAATCCAGTCAATATAAATCTATATCTATATCTATATCTATATAAAAGTAAAATCCTCCTATGTAATTTTCCGCTCAAACTTTTATAGTCAAATTAATGAAATATTTTATTGGTCAAATTAATAAAACTTATTTGGTAAGCAAATATAAAATGGAAATGTTATAAAAGCTATTAATTGGTAATATTATGCAATACCAATATACCATTGTGAAATCCAGTCAATATAAATTAAAAAAAAGGAAACTGATATTATTAATTGATTGAAAATATAAAAGGATTCTAATGAAAAAAGGAAACAGAA